TCTATAATTTAAAATGTAGGGAATCTCTTAGAGATAAATTCAAGGAAATTAATATACTTACCTTTCCCTCGCAATATATTTATGAAAATATTATGTATGTATACAAAAATAGTGATAAGTTTACTAGAATAGAACATACGCACAATGTTAATACACGGAACAAACGCAGGCTGCAATTTCCCCGTACTAGACTATCTAAAGTTAGTAATTCTTTTTTGGGGAAAGGGATACTCTTCTTTAATAAAATCCCAGAGGCTCTTTTATCACTGCCTTTCAATAAATTTAAGAAATGTATTAAAGAAAAGCTGTGTAAAAAGGCTTACTATAAAGTCAACGATTATCTAGTTGATAAAAGGGCCTGGGACTAGTGCTAGACAGGCTACTTCTAATCAATTTGCGATATTTGTTTTAAATAAGTGTTGTTTGATGATTTGCTGTTTTAAAAGAGTACCGAGAGTTTTTTACGCCGGCTTTTTCTCTCGGCCTACACCCTCTGTCTTCTTTGCCGATGAGTAGGGATGCCTTCAAATTTAATGACGTGGAATAAGTGATACATGTATCTTATGTTCCATAATAAACATATTTTATTTTATTTTATTTTTAATACAAGTATGAATTCTCTATATTATTAAGCCTCTACATATGTGCATCCTCCTCCATCGCTGGCAGAATTAATAGTGACGCGATAAATATCGACCAGACACTAGACGCTCGATATTTATCGACGATAATTGATACAGATCGTGGATTTTTAGATTTCTAGAAATCCAGCGATCCGTATCACGATACGTGATACGCCTGTACTACACATCGTGATTCTGGATTACGATCCAAATATCGCGATAAATATCGAGATATTTATTTGGTATTTTTTTAGTATACTACACAGTACACACTCAATACGAATCGCGTCAGTACGACGGTAAATTTCATTGAGTACACTCGTACGTTTCGTGTTACAATAATGAGTAACAATATTAAGAAAGCTTGCGTTGTCATTATTATTATTATTATCAGTATATGCTGATATATATCAATATCCAAGACTTTGGATTGTAAACATTTTCCGCTGCAGCACCAGATCGTTTCAAATCTGTTATTTTTTAAATTATTATCTGTAGTTTGCCTAGTTTGCATTTGAGGTGTCCCATACTTATAGGTAATGTTTCTAATACAAGTATGAATTCTCTATATTATTAAGCCTCTACATATGTGCATCCTCCTCCATCGCTGGCAGAATTAATAGTGACGCGATAAATATCGACCAGACACTAGACGCTCGATATTTATCGACGATAATTGATACAGATCGTGGATTTTTAGATTTCTAGAAATCCAGCGATCCGTATCACGATACGTGATACGCCTGTACTACACATCGTGATTCTGGATTACGATCCAAATATCACGATAAATATCGAGCGTGTAGCATTCGCCATAGTAATAATAATAATAAAGCCACTTTAATTCCATACTGTGAAAAAAATACATATCAAATAAGTGTTAGTTTTGTTATTATACTCTTGGTCTACGTTAGTTATTGTTATTTCCGTTTCTTAATTCTTTGTGTTCTGCAGTATGAACTCCTGTTGGGTAAACTAAAGGCCTCCTCCTGAACTTTCCATTCGGGTCTGTTGTTAGCTTCCTCCATCCATTTTTCCCCAGCAACCTTTTGTGGTCTTCCCACGTTTCTTTATCTCGGGTGGCTTCGGCGGTCCATCTTCGCCTTGTTGCAATCGTGGTAACCTAGAAAACGCAAAAAAAAAATATATTTTGTGAGCCTTATATTAATACGCACGTAAGGTCTACTGATTAGTTTTTATAAGGAAACGTTTTCAATAATTACTAAGTTCGTGACGCACGCGCAGTTAAAGATCCACAATAGTTATTCCTTGACGCGTAATAATTGTTATGCGCATATTAAAATAATATATACCAATGGCGCTACAACCTTTTAGGTCTAGGCCTCAGATTTTTGTACCTGATCCGTAATTTCTAATAGGCAAGTAGGTGATCAACCTTCTGTACCGTCGACTTTTTGGGTCTAAGTCTAATGCGAATCCTCACGATGTTGTAAATGGTGTAATGGTTGCAGCTCCTTACAAACATTGTATAAAAAAAAAAGCCCGCCATTAAAAAGAGTGGCAGAGAGTTTATTACCAGTTCTTCTCTTCCGCTCTACGTCCTTGATTTGAGAACTAGCAGTAAATGGAAATTAGAAGCATTTAATATATATTTCTTTTTTGACATTCATAAGTGAAGGTATATTGTGTTACCTATATGAATAAATGATTTTGACTTTTGAGTAATACATGCACTTGCAGTATTACAAAGTCCATTGCACATCGGGGATCGAACCTACGACCCCAGGGATGATAGTCGTACCTTGACACTACTATCCATTAAAATTAAATATATTTTAACCCTACCTTAATTCTGACGATCTTTCTCAATCAATAATTCTAATGTTAATAGAGGTGTGGTCGATATAGCGCACATGGACATAACAAGACCCAAAGGATATATTAGAATACAGAGTAAAACAAAACACCTGGCTTGTCGGGTGATCGTTTCTCCTATGCAGCAACAACTATACAATATGAGTCAAAATGGATGGAGGAAGGCCTGTCTCAAATAAATTCCTGATGACGGTAATAAGCTTAAACCTGTGTAGTAGGAAATATTTCATCAAATGCTCATCTCCTTCAACTTCTATACTCAATTCTTTTTAATCCCAAAACTCCTTCTTATCTTAAAAATCATTTCAAATTCTCAGGTCCATATACGATACGCAAGGAGCGTATGCAATATATGTTTATTGGAAATTCCATCACATTTCTTTACCATATTATCCTATCCTGATCAATCCTGACTTGTGTAATTGTTGTACATATTTCCTTTTCTTTTGTCTTGCATCGCCATTCATAAATCCGTGAGATTAGCTTTTTAGTTTTTGGTTTTATTAATATTTTTTGTATTACTTTAGATTAAGGTTCAATAATCTTTTTTTATATAACATTTGGTTATGCACGTCTTGCACTTTACTCGTCATATTTATTTTTTTAGTTTTTCCCTTACTAGGGTTGCCTGTAAGAGATCGCTTGTTAGCGATAAGGCAGCCCGTTGCATCCCTTATAATTTTTATGTTTTAATGAATAAATAAATAAAATAAATAAATATTTGAATGTGTTTGTTTGTTTGCATTAGGCTCCACAATTACAGAACTGATTTGACAAGTTTCTTTACCATTAAAATGTACTAAAAAACCTTGGCTATAATATTTTACCGCTTAGAGAGCACTTATTTAATAAAAGACAACTCGTATACAAATAAGCGACGAAACTTACTATTACTGTTTTTCCTAGTTTTTTAACACATGCTATACAATGAAAAAACCCATTAACACAAGGTCATGTAATCAGCACCAAATCAGTCAAACCAACAATTCAATAAAAAGTCGCAAACCTTTCACCAAATACGATTATACGAAAATCAAAACCTAAATCAGTTGATTGCGATCGAGCTTCAAACAAAGGATTCTAACATTTTTATAGCACAATATTACTTGCAATAATCGCATGTTGCCTTCATATATCTTATAATCTCAGATTTATCCATACCTATTCGCCAGTGCAAATAACAATTAGCTTGTGTGCTTTATTTACAAAGTGATAAGATACAAAATGAAAATTACGCTAATATGGCTTTTGTGTAAGTAATTTGTTTCTTCTAAGATATTTTACTAAGTGCCTAAATTATAAACGAAAAATTGTAGTCATATAAAATAAAAAACTGTCATATTTAAGCAGGTTGACAAGTTTCCGTTACATTATGTAGTGATAAAATACCAGTTATGCTTAGGTAACTTGTTGAACCTGCTTCTAAATATGCTTACGCACTTATTATTTTCTAAATAAGTATATAAAAGCGAGTTAGTTATAAATTCAATTATAATAAGTTATTGCCTATTTTATATTCTTCAATAGGTTTTGAGATACTGACGACTGACAATTCTGGCACTATATTTTCCGTGTCCTAAATGCTGAGTGCAGTATTCGCACTAATATTTACTACACTATAGAAATTGAGTTATTTTTGTAAGGTAACACATACATTAGTATGTATATTACAGATGCATACGTTTAGTATCGTCGATTTATTTCGTAAATACAGATATAATTACTGTTTGTAACTCAAATAAAACACGAATATCTATAAAATATACAAATAAAAGTGTAATTTTGTACGTATTTTACCCAGATACAATTTGACGTAAATAGAATAATAATTATTTGCATATACATATATACAAGGACTTATTTCAGTTTATAACATTCAATTTATCGTCATATTTTCATAGCATTCAATTAAACAATTTGAACAAAACTCTTCTTGTTTCTTGAAATGTGCGTTGGACAACACATCTATTTATTCGTAGAATTTTAGGTTTGAATGCCCAATGTGTGTTGCGGTATTCATAAAATAACATTTAAACCCAACGGTAAATAATTTTTTCCTTTTTTAAATTTCCCTCAAATCTTTATTCTAAACAAAGTAATGAATGAAAATTTATTAGTACATATTTCTCGTCAACTGTCAAGTAGAAGTACAGTCACACACTATTAATCTGTGCTTCTTATTGTACTTTAATTTTTCCTAAATCATTCTTTAATTCAAAGTTTTTATAACTATCAATATCACATAAAAAGTTTATAAATGGTAGCTTAAATCTTACATAGTGTTATATATTTAAAAGTTATGTATAAATCTTTCATTTAATTCACGAAATTAATTTGATTAGAAAATCAAGATAAAGTTGTAACTTCAATTTACTTATTATGTATTTATTTAGCTTGAAAACATAGCATTGTGATTAGTAGGTAGGTGCTGGACAAAGACTTTGTTTCTTATTTATTACCTACAATCGGACTTATTGCATGAGTTGACCTCATTTGTTTATAAAAGGCTTATAATTATTAAAACTAGTTTCAGTTATCACAATGGGAGAAGAAAGTTTTGCTCAGACAATAGATTTAGAGAATTGGATGAAAAAGCTGCCAGAACAAATTAAAAATACTCCTTTTATATACATTGCCATACCAGGTAAACTATTTTGCTTTTAGACTTTCAAGTATTTTTTTTATTAAAATGTGTCCTGCAACATTTATGATGTGATTTATGGTTGGGGCTATGTTATTGGGGCTTAATTACTTGTATACATTTTATTCAATATTGGAATCTTATTTAAAAAAAAACCTTTTTTTTATGGTTGTGATAAAAAAAAAAATTATTGCAGGAAGCCATGATTCAATGACCTATGCTATAACTAGATCAAGTGATTTAGCACCTGATGCTGAACCAATTCTCAAAAGACTGTACCCCTTGTTCAAAGGTACAATATTGAGGTGGACAATAACTCAAAGCATAGATGCCTTGCAACAGCTTCTAATGGGCATTAGGTAGTGAATTAATATAGTTATGTATAAAAAATTATTGTAAATAAATATAATCTCTTTGTTAAATTACATTAAATAAAGTATGTTTTTGATCACTTCAAGGACTCAATTGATAACGCTTTGAATTTCAATCATTTATTACCTACAAAAATTTAAATTTTACAGATAACTAATAATTATTTAATTATTTTCAGATATTTTGATCTGAGACTTGCAACAAAGACTGGTTCCGATCATTTTTACTTTACACATGGAGTTTATGCAGGAGAAATAACGGGGCCCTTACATCAAATTAAGGATTTTATTAACTCCCACCCTGGAGAGGTATGTTAAAACATACTAAATGTAGAAGTACTATTTATTTTAAATTCCATAAGAAAGTATGTAAACACTAGGACGGCGCAGTGCTCGCAATTCTGCTTCGCTTCAGCACAGATTTGAGCGGAGCGAGTGTTCAACTCAATTTTTAATGATGAGTAAAAATTCATAGATTCAAAACATTTCATTTAAAGATTTGATTTTGTTGAAAGGACTTTTTAGTTTTAGGTCTCCTTCAAAGTTGTTTTTCCGCTTAATTTGTGATTTATTCGTAAATATTATTGAGTTTTTATAGCCTATAGCACGGGAAATTTTTCCATCTTTAATTTAAAAAGAATTTTCAAAATCGGTTAAGCCGTTCAAAAGCCTTAGTGTTTGTACAGAGTGTCATAAGAGTGGGCGCAAGGGAGCTTCGCTCGCTCCGCTCAATTAAGTTATCAAGCAAAGCTTGTTGAAACTTTCATTTATCAGTAACAAATTGGAGCAATCTAATTGTGGGGCTAGTCTATCTTCTGCATTTGGAAAGCCCAAATTAAACATTTAGCAGTTAACTTCAAAAAAGATATTCTTTCCCATTTTAAAATAAACAGAGTTAACAATAAAGTCAGCTCTTGCACCAACGCACAATAAACCATAAGACAGTTTTTAAATTAAAAAATATTAAAATTGCCAGCACACGGTTTAACAAAAATAATTATTAGTGATCATTTATCTCTTACGCAAGTTTTAAGGATTTTTGAACTTAGTGATATTTTTGTGTTATCAGGTTGTGATTTTGGATTTGCAACATTTTTATGGATTTACTGCGGATGACCATCAAAAGCTTATAAGGTATCTATTGAATATGTTTGGACCAAAACTTGTACCAAGAATACAAAACCTTCAAAGCATTACGTTGAATTCACTTCAGAGATTAGGACAGCAGGTACTCTATTTTTTCTTTTTTATTTACTATCATTTTATTTGATTGATTTATCTTATAGATTATATTCTAAACTATAAAACTTTTGTACAAATTTAAAAAGTTCTTTCACCTATATAAAGGTATGTTGTCAGCAAAAAACATAGACACTTATATAGGAACTCACCATCAATATGAAATGTCGCAATACGGAAATAATTATTTCCTGTCCCTCAGTTTGACGGCGCTATCTCAAGATCGATATCTGGAACTGGGGCTCTAGGGCAGGAATTTTAAAAAAAGGCTATATTATAAAATCGACGCTACGATCGAATTAATGTGACTAAAACCGCAGCATGGGGTATAGATGATATTCCTGCATTTGCCTTTTTAGACATGCAGTTTAGTCCTTTTTTTGCTATTAGCCAATTGCTTAAGAAGTAAAATCTATAAAAGTATTTCAAATTTTAAGACGAATATAATACAAACATTTCGTAGTGCTTGTTTGATGTTACCCAAGATCTCAACATGTTGAAGAAGCCAACCAAAGAAATGGTTTTATCGTAAACTTGGTAATTCAAAGTATTTTTCGATGTTTCAGGTGGTTGTTGTGTATCGTAACCCCTCTGTGCAATCGACAGGGGAATTGTGGCAATCCAATATGTTACCATCCCCTTGGCCACAGCAAGATAGTATTACAGCATTATTGCTATTTCTGCAAAATGTAAAACGTCATCCGGGCATGGGTTTTGTGCACCAGGCTGTTTTGACACCGACACCAGCATTTATTTTGTTCCGGTGAGTTTTTATATACATATACGAATTGCTAAAACTCGAGAATGGCTGGACCGATTTGTCTAATTTTGATTTTGAAATATTGGTGGAAGTTCAGGGATGGTTTCAATTGTGAGAAATATTAGAGAGTTCGACTTAGGTACAAACATACTCGTAAACATAGATCATTCTATTAAACTTGAGTTCTGCAGATCTGTTTGCCAGTCGGCAAAGGCCTCCTCCAACCTTTTCCATTTGTGTCTTTCTTGGGCCACTTTGTTCCACATCACTCCTGCCACTTGTCTGATGTCGTCCTCAATCAATTTATTGGCTTGGCTTTATACTAAGCCGTAATTTTCAAAGTTTTAAATTTGAACATTTTTATCTTAGAAGGATGACTGTACTACTATGGCTACTTAATTTTCCAAATTTTAAAACCATTCTGTTGCCTATTTCATTGCTATTAAAGCATATAGATGATAAGCCTTCTGTCTATTACACCTGAACAATTATTATTTCACCAGGAATCGAAAGAGGCATGTTACCATAAGGGGGTAAAATGCCTTTGCTTTCAGGCCGCGATCATTCGGACAGATATAATTATAGTAAAATTTAATTTAAGTATCTTTTGATAAAATTAACTTTCAGGTGGCTATCAACGTTACGAGAGAAATGTGCTAAGCCTGTTAAAAACGAGATCTACCCAAAGCTGACTGAGTTTACTCCAGGACCACCTAAAACTAACGGCTCAGCATCTGTTAATGTCGTTATAGCAGACTTCATAGATCTAGACAACGCCATATTTTCTAAAACGGTTATAAATCTTAACTATAAGCTTCTAAGGAATACCAATTCCTTATTCCATAATAATGGGTAAGCTTTAAAATACTCAAGTACCTGATAGTTTAAGTAAATGAGATGTGATATTTTATATTTTTACCTTTTATTATACATAAATAAAATGCATGTTTAAATTTAGTTTTATTTCACGAAACAATTTACGGACCAAACACTTTATTACAAAAATCATCCAATTTGATACGTTCACAAAGGTCTTTGAAAGACCAAGTTTTGTTTTTATTCAGTGTGTCGGTGTTTAACGCTGAAAACAATTTATCTGATAATTCGTCTGATATTTCAATAATCCGGCATATTTTATCTAAACGAGATATATCTTCGATGGAATTAGTTAAATCTGTTATGTTAATTACTTGGGATTTCTTTTCTTCGAAGGAGGTTTCTGAATCAGACCCTGAAGCGCTATCCAGTTTATCGAATATATCTTGTTTCTTCCGCGGTCTAAAATTGCTAATTGATATACATGGGCTGACGCACCTTGATGTTCCTGCTGAGGTTACATCCATTCTATTTATTTTATGTAAAATTCTTTCCACCATTTGATTTTTTGGTACGTTATTAATGATGAGTCGTTCCGGTTTTTCTTGATCTTTTACGTATTTTTTATCATTTTTATTTTGTTTACAAACGTTTGTTGGTACGCTTTCATCATTTTCAGAAATAACGTTTTCACAATATATTTTATCAGGAAAAACGATTTCTTCTCCTATTGGATCAATATTTTTGTTTTCAAGACCTAAATTGGCGTCTGATTTTTGAGGTGGTTCACATTGTTCTGTTATTTGCACATCTATAATTTGTGTTATTATCGTATCCTTAATAATCCCCTCCGTTATTGTGCTGTCATTATTAGAGACTTGTACTATATTGCAAATGATATCCTCTTGTCCTAATTTTATAGTGTTATTGTCACTCTTTAGGAGATTTATGTGTGGAATATGATTTTCTGACATCCCTACTTCAGAAATGCTTGGAAGTGAATTTGCTTCAGATTTCACATATTCCAGAAGTTTACCAAAGTTGCTTGTTTTATTTTTCGTAGTATCTTCAATGACATTACTAGTCTGAATAATTGCAGAATCTTCTCGCATATTTATTGTTGTATTAGAAGTAGTTATATTATAAACTTCTTTATTTTCAGTCGTTATGTTTACAAGAGTTTCGTTAGTTTCAGGTTCATTATTAAATTCAACTATTGGTTCAATAGCTTGTTTTGCATCATTAATATGATTGTTTTCTGAATTTTTCTCATCCATATCTAATGTAACAGGTTCCATTTCTGGAATAGTTTTGCTACTTTTATTTATCTGGTTATTACAGTGGCTTGATTTCTTTAACAAATCTTCTGTCATATTTACAACTTTGGAGAATTCTTTCTTCACCTTTTCAAGCTGTTCATGATTTCTTAATTCTCTACTTTGTGCTACACAAGCGGGTCCCAAATGTTGGCAGCTTTGAAAAAGCGGGCCAATCTCATTTTGAGAGTGAGTTTCATCATCTGTTTTGTTACTTTTTAATACTTCATTCGTTTTATTTACAACACGTCTTAAAGTTGTCTGAGGCTTGGGTATATAACGGTAACCTAGTGTATTGTTATTTAATGTTTTCGGAAATAACTTCATTTTAAAGCCAGTGTCTTGCGATGCACTCGATATCATATCAGGGTTTATTTGGAAACTATAATTGTTAGGAATGAAGATACTTTTGCATCTGTTCGTTTTAGTGCCTTCTGATATAGATTCGATATTAATGGGTATAAAAACGTGCTGAAATTGTCGTTCCGAGAATAATATTGTATCTACAACACGACACGCGTACGAGTACTCGTTTTCATACCAACAAACCAGTTTTAAGAAATTGGATGATAGTTGGAAGCTGGAGTTAACGTCAACTATACAAGAATGATTTTCACCAAAAAAATCTGACGATACCGCCTCCTCGTTCGATATCGTAATTATATCTTTCATACTAGTATGGCTGTATTGATGAATGTATTTCACAATATCTTCTATTGAAGCGCCCTTGTTTAATCTAAATAGAAAAAAATCAGGTAACTTCCTGCCTCAAAGCGGGCATGATATTGATAACTTACTTACCTAATTGACATATCCAGAACTGAAACATTAACAATAGGGACCCGAAAAGCAAGACCAGACAATTTATCTTTAATCTGTGGTATTATTTTATGAAGTGCTTTACACGCACCGGTGGCAGCGGGAATTATATTTTGATGGATACTTCTATGGTCTCGCCAATGCTGAAAGTTTAATTAAAAACAAATCTTGCTACCATAGAATCTACAAAAATAAGATTAATATATATAAGTAGCTAATTACGAGGCAGAAAAGAAATGCTCAAAATGAATTCTTAAATAAATTTAAAGACTCTGACGTCTGATATTAAGAGGTAAGGAATTCCATTAGGATTTCTAAGGAGGAGTGATAGGATTCAGTTTTATGAGAAGGTAAGATTGTCAAGGCAACGCCAATAACACTACCGCCAGGAAACATACAATTTTGCTTTTAGTAACTTTCAGGTCTATGTATTGGTCTATAATTTTGAGAATTATGTTACTTTTTCTACCGTATAAAATACTTTAATTAAATTATAGGATATTAAAAATAATAGAATAAAAATTCAAATTTTAATGCTAAATCTAAATTTCCCACACTGAAAACTCTAAGAATACTTAGTATTTCATAAGGAAATAGTAACTTGCAAAAATATTGTAATAATATACTGTAACATACATATAGGATAATCGAACTCATGATTAAATATCTAAAGACTTACTCTTCCTCTTAAACAGAGGCTGTCAAGGGGTTTCAACGAAGGTGTCATAGCATGTATACTTGTTACAAAGCCTTCTGTTACGCCGAATTTGTCTTCTAAAATCTTGACTATTGGTGCCAAACAATACAGGGTACTGGACGCGCATGACAACACTTTGTCCTCTAAACAAAATGTAATTTAATAAATTACGTTTCTCGAAATCCATTACACGTTAGGTGAAGGTTGTACAAAAAATCAATGGGCTACAACCTATTTTGGTCTGGGCCTCAAATTTCTGTATCTGTTTCATGATGATTTGTTCATCTAATGAGCAAGTAGGTGATCAGCCTCCTGTGCCTTCCACACGCCGTCGACTTTTTGGGTTTTAGGCAAGCCGGTTTCCTCACGATGATTTCCTTCACCATTCGAGCGAATGTTTAAAGCGCACATTGACTGAAAATCCATTATTGCAGAGCCTGGCATCGAACCTACGACCTCAAGAATGAGAGAGCACCCTGAAGGCACTAGGCCAACACTGCTCTTAATAAATGTAAAAAGCTATCCAATATGTCTATACTCTTCTTTATCTTAAAATAGACGAGACAAAAAAATCTTAGCTATTCAAGTTCTGATGCCTCTATATATCATCTCATACTGTGATAGATTATCACTTAAATTCAATGTTGTAATTACATTTCGTGAAACAAAAGATGCCAAAAGGTTATATTTAAATCACTTCGATATCATTATGTAAATATTTTAATGAACTCATAATGGGAGCAGTTTAAAAATAATATTTTACATAATAGAATACGTAGTTTGGCAAAGTATGAAACTAAAGAAGAATGGTCCGTGTCAAAAATATAAGGGCGATGCGTGCTTTTTTACATTATTAAATCACCAAGCTCAATGCAGAGTTGTTTAGGAAAATCAGCAGCATAATGACTGTTCCACTCAGATGCTAGACGATCAGAACTGAACAGCACTGAATATTTTACAAAGGAAATTATTATTAGGTAATAGCAAATATATGTAATTTAAGTATTGTAACTTACCGATACTAATCATGTGCTCGTTTACTCCTACTATGAGCATGGGAATATCAAGACTTGGTGCAGTCACTAGGACGCGCTTAACGCCAGAGCTTAAATGACCCTAGAAGGATAAAATTAGCAGAAGCGTATGCAGAAATTCCGCATGTAACGCTACATCTTCGCATTAAAATCTTAAGAATTTAGACAAATCTAAATTCCGCAGACAGTTGGGGTATTATTACCTATTCGAATTAGACGTGACGCTCACCTCCTTCAACTTCTATAGGTACCGCATATCTTAAAAACTACTACTATACTATATCTTACGCTCTTCTAATAGATGTTTTCTGGAAATTTCATCTCACAGCTCATCCTTTTAGGCAATTCGTTTAGGATCTCCAACATTAAGTTGTGGAATACGCTGCCCAACTCCATACGATTGGCTACCTCCCAAACCTCTTTTAAAAGTCTTCTACATAAACACTTCTTAACCATATCCTACCTGCTCAATCGTGACTTTTGTAATTCATGTATTTCTTATTCTTTTGTAGTCCATTGTACATGAACCGTGAGATTAGCTTTTAGTTTAATTTATTAATTTTTGTATTATAAAGTTTGGTAATTCTATAATTTTTCAGTGTTAATTGTAATTTTATATTTGTTATTTTTTGTTTATTACTTTTATCTGCTTCATTGAACATGCCTCTATGTATTCCGACATATTACATTATAAACATTGTTTAAGGATACGATATAAGGAACGGTTATGATTAAAATCTCCGCCCCAAGCCGAGGTCCGAGTTTCTCAATAGACGCCTTGACGCTAGTTGCGGGAAAAGCTCATTCCGGTCGAGCTACGCTGATGACCAATGACTTTCAGACATGACAGTTTTCGTCGGTTACTCTTGAATGTCAAAATGAATTAAAACACTTTAGCAATTACTGCCAGGTCATAAACCATAGAACTATAATGAGAAGAACTGTCAGTAAATTACGATAAGTTGTTTTCAATAGTCAAGTAATTAATTTCACAACATGCTGTAAGAAGCTGCAACTATTACTCCTTACTCGATATGATATGAAATAAAAGTCAATAAACTAGATAATATTAAGTTAATAATAACTTGGGGGCTGGGTAATTACTAAGAGTTATCACAATTTGACCCTTGGCTTTTAATATTTTATCGTTAATTTTATTTCATAATTAAACTTGTATTGCCGCCCCTTTATGCATGACCTTCGTAGCTGTCGTTAGCTTCGTAGCAGAATATGTGAGTACGAAAAGCTTATTCCGTCTGTGTTTGAGCCCGGGAAAAACAAAAATATAAAAAAACATAAGATAAGGACAACAAGGCTAGCGTAACATAATTCTACGATTAATAAAACTCAGTCAAAATACGTTTACCCATAAGATGTTACATCTATAAAACTAAATAATTAATTCTTTAATTTAATTTATATTGTAATTTAAATATTAAATATGATAATATTATCAATTATCTCGATTTTATAAGAGTTGTCATGCTGCTACTTAGTAAATATAACAATACCGAAGCTTTTTCCAAACTTGTGAACATTCCAGAAGCCTCAACAACATACTGAACCTCGACGCTGACCCAAGGAATATTTATAGGTAATTTCTCGTGAAGTATTTTAATTTTTGTTCCTAAAAATCAGAAGTATTATAGCTATAACGAATACCTACAAACATTCAACTTCTTAATTTTATTCTCAAGAGTCAAGATGAATGAGCCAGTCAAGGAATGAAATAAATAACGAATATGCCAAGAATCAATAAAATTTGTTGTTGTTTGGCTATACGTGTTTTTTCTAATTTCAATGTAATTTCTTAATATATTATTTTTAGACCGGACAAAATTTAAGAAAAATCAAAATTGTAAATAAATCTGGGTTGGATTTTGCGAAGATAAAGTCAGAGAATATTGTACGTACCTTCAATATTAACCTCATTTTCAGTAAATGATATGTTTCCTCTAAGTTTGCCATGCGTAGAATCAAATTTAATTAAATAACAAATATATTCGATATCAATGGCCGGGTCGTTAATTGCAGTAACCTAGAATAACAACCTAAAATATTAATTATATCTAACGAAAATAGGGTTTGCTATCAGTATACAAAATAAATAATAGTAGGTAAATGATTAACAAATATTTTTTTTTATAGAAACTAACTATAATATCAGGTATTTGAAGACATTTTCTAAATATAACTCTTCCAATTCGACCAAATCCATTTATGCCGACTTTTATAACCATAACAAATTTACATAGGCTTTATTTATAAATTAATTTTATGATTTCTTGGGGAAAAAATTATCATCTTCAAGTAATTCAAAATAAAAACTTCTAAAAATATATGTATATTTCATTAATTATTTAGTTTGACTTCTAGTTTTAGCTTCAATTTCATACTCCCCGCCATTAAAATGTCTATGAGCAGTTTTTAATGTACTCTTTAGTCTTTAGTTGACGCGAGTTGGCAGTTTTTTACAGATACAGTATTATTGTGGAAATTTTTTTATCTTACCCGATATTAGGGTAGTTTTTCTTTACTTTATCTTTACTTAATCATGGCACAACATAATTATAAAACAATATATTTATATCTTAAAATTATGATAAACCTCGACAATAGCGCTGACATAGAATAGCATTAATTAATGTTAATTTTTAACTTAAAAAGGATTTAACAAACATTCTATACTAATTTTTATTTCACAGGTTAGTAACACTGGTCCGCCCTTTATTTGACATTTCCAATAGGAACATTTAATTTTTTCACATTTCAAGTCACCATCTTGTGAAGGACGACCGGCTTGTGATTCGTTAATTATTCCAAGAACTTGGTAAGTCGACATCATACGCTTTATTAATTATTCGTGTACATTTGTTATTTAATTATCATAATATATTATGAATTAAAGATTTTACCTTATATTTTTCGCTGTAGATGTTTGCGTCATAATTACACGTAGGCCGTAGAAAACAAAAATCGCGTAATAATATGTTAATACAACTATTATTTAGTGAACTCTTCTGTCAGCGAAACTTTTAGAGTACCTAATTAGTTATTAATAAGAATTTAGTCAGTAACTTGAATGATTTCTACTTCAAAGGTTTGACCTTAACGTGACCTCTACAAGCCGGTATAATGTTCTCGAGCTCGATACATAATCATAACTAGAACTTTGATATAAATTTTCTTGAATTTGTAGGCTATTGTTGTAAACTAGCTCGACTAAAGGGTCATTACCTAGGTCAATCATAACAAATGAATTCAATTATAGCTTTTTTTTTGGACCGTCATAAAAATATAGGTATTTTATTTTTATTACCAGTTCATTACGATCAACATGATTTTTGTTTTCAGCAAACATGTCGAAAATTGGTATCAACGGATTTGGACGTATTGGACGTCTGGTGCTCCGTGCTTCAGTGGAAAAGGGAGCCAAGGTTGTTGCTATCAATGACCCCTTCATTGGTTTGGATTACATGGTCTACCTTTTCAAGTACGACTCCACTCATGGACGTTTTAAGGGCACAGTTGAGGCTGCTGATGGATGCCTAGTAGTCAACGGAAACAAGATTGCTGTCTTCTCTGAGAGAGACCCTAAAGCTATTCCCTGGGGAAAGGCTGGAGCTGAATATGTTGTTGAATCCACTGGTGTGTTTACCACCATTGATAAGGCATCTGCTCACATAGAAGGTGGAGCCAAGAAGGTCATCATCTCTGCTCCTAGTGCTGATGCCCCCATGTTCGTAGTAGGTGTAAACCATGAAACTTACGATCCATCCTTCAAAGTTATCTCTAATGCTTCCTGCACAACTAACTGTCTCGCTCCTCTTGCTAAAGTTATTCATGATAACTTTGAAATTGTTGAAGGTCTTATGACCACAGTTCATGCTACTACAGCTACCCAAAAGACTGTTGATGGCCCTTCAGGAAAATTGTGGCGTGATGGTCGTGGTGCTCAACAAAACATTATTCCAGCTGCTACTGGCGCAGCTAAGGCTGTCGGCAAAGTAATCCCTGCTCTTAATGGCAAACTCACTGGAATGGCATTCCGGGTTCCAGTTCCCAATGTCTCTGTTGTAGATTTGACTGTCCGCCTAGGCAAGCCTGCCAGCTATGATGCCATTAAGCAAAAAGTTAAAGAGGCAGCTGAAGGACCCCTCAAGGGAATTCTTGGTTACACTGAGGACCAAGTTGTATCAACTGATTTTGTTGGTGATACTCACTCTTCAATCTTTGATGCTGCTGCGGGTATCTCTCTAAATGACAACTTTGTTAAACTTATCAGCTGGTACGACAATGAATATGGTTACTCCAGCCGTGTCATTGACCTTATCAAGTACATCCAAACCAGAGATTAAATTGCCCCAATAGAGTTGAATGTTATATTGTGATTGTAATGTCGAGATTACCGACCTTTAATTTAAGTTTTAAGTATAGCTGTGTATTTATCTAAATTATTATGCTACTTTGACAGTAGTGTGCACTATGTATGTGTAATTTTTAATTCTGTTTAACATTCTGTGTATAGGAATTCTCTATTGAATCAAAAATAAAGTCAGATTATGTGTAAAAGTATTTTATTATTTCTTTCTGGGCTATTTTAACACTCAAACTTTGATTTTGTTGGAGAATGTGGACATGTTTAAACATTTTATCATTCTAAGTTACTAATACTCTAGTGGCACCACAGTTCACATGGCCCTCAAGAAATGTAAAGAAGTAATCTGCCTTCTGTGTCTCATACATGATACATGCCTATTTCCTAAACTCGAAAGCATACCAGCACACAAAACGAAAAATCTATTGGTGTACAGTCGTGTTCGAACGCATCCTCATAGATGAAACTGAAAGTAGTATGGGTAAGGGTGCGTCCACATCTGGCGAATGTGCAGCTCGCGAGCTGCGCGCGTGCATTTTTATTCGCGCGCAGTTCGCTCGACACTGCTCATTCAATATTTGTATTGATTTAATGATATTTAATATTTTATACATATATTATTTCGATTAATTATTGAAAAATCTGTTTACCGTTTACCACAGCAAAAAGTTGAAACTATTCGCTAGGTGTATGTAAATAATAATAAAATTATATATTATATATAGTCCTTGTAGAATAGTGATAATAACTAAAGTTTAGCTGTTCCAAGGAGAGAGAGAGTGAGCGCCACCATAGAGGTGTGAGTTGTGTGGCCGATTTAGATGTGTACTTTTCACTGTAGGATTTCAAACTGACTAAAAGGCTACATATAATCGTTTTCATTTGGAAGCTTCTTATATATGTACTTAAACATATTATTATACTAAATTAAAACATATTTTAAAATATTTCATAATACGTTTTTAATATCAATTTTATTTTTCTTTATCTGTTATCAATGACAGACAATGAAAGCATACAATTGTCATAATTCGGAATTTGTCAATCATCAGTGTTAAGTGTCAACAAAATAAATTCGTCTGAATTCTGAAATCTGCTGCTTCGTGTAAAATTGTGAAGATAAAAGTTCAAATGTCGTTTATTTTGCAATAAATATGTTTTACAATGATAGATAATGTTTTTTTGTGTTTTTTGGTTGAAATACAAAGTATCTTCTAAGTGAACTGAAACAAAACTTTAACAATCTTTAATAATGGAGGATCTCAATTTGACAGAGACTGAGATGAGATATTTTGGTGATTTGTTTTTATGTTGCGACGAGGAGTCCAACGGGAAAATCCCAATCCTAAAAGCAACAGAACTTTTTAGGTCATCTAACATACCAAATGATGTTCTCAAGCAGGTTAGTAACAGTGATTCTTAAGTGTTTGCTACGCAAAAACTTTTTTGTAATGAAATGATATACATTTATTTCAGATTATGGATTTAAGTGTATCGCCTAATAATTGTTCGTCTCTAAATCATATGAATAGAAAGCAATTTTATTCGGCCTTAAAACTTATAGCAGCTCATCAATCAAATATAGCATTAAAACCAGAGATTTTATTAACACCTTTGGATCTACCCCTTCCAAGGTTTACATGGGCTTTAAACTCGGATGCAAATTCAGATTTAATACAGTTATCCAATTCTCCTAAAGAGCAGCATATATCAAAGAGAGAGCGAACCTTTGTAGAGAGGACTCTAGGTGCTTATGAGCCGATAAGAGTTTCATCAAATTTATCAGATAGTGACATTCCTCAAACGCTGTCTCATGATACTGCTGAAGTACTAAGTACAGACTCGGAGATAGAATCTGAAACAATGTCACAAAGTGGTTCAATTGGGGTAAGTCTGATTCATGAACAATTACTTAATTTCTATTTGATTAGTAATCAGTATTAGTTTGAAAGGTAATAAGTTCTTGGTAATGTTTAAGTAAAAAATATAGATCATTATGTTTTTAATTATTATCAGAAAATTTTAATAGGTTAGTAGTCATATTTATCTTATCTAAAACTTATGTTTACCATTTTGATAAGTAATTGAGTTAAAAAGTATTAACTCATTACCTTTGATAAATACAGTAAAAGATTTAGCTTATTCTCTAAATAAAGGTTTCGCAATACAGATTAAAAAGGGTGAATTTAAAATAATGCTGACTACCACACACTCAATCCTGTTCTAGAATAAGGACAATCTACTGGAATAACTACTGAAATTTCTATTATATTTTATTTCATCTAATTTTACACTTAAGTTAATAATTAATCTTTGGCAATATGATTGGGATATTATAATATAACTTTACTTACTTATATTTTTAAATACTATAGAGAAGAGATAAAACGGGGTCTCCATGGAGTACAGCTAGTGAAAGTCCTACTCCAACCAACAGTGTAGCTGAAAGGGTCCACCCAGTGTGGGAACACAGTGCAACTGGGCGTGGTGTATGGCCTACAAATACTGCAGAGGAACATACTAGGCTCCTAGGTATATTTGGCTTTTAAATACTGTCATTTTATGAAAACATTTTTTTATGAATTTCGTTATTAACTTAAGTTGCTAGCATTAAAAGCAATAGTTGATAACAGAACCAAAGTTTTTCATAATTCTTTCTATTAGTTAATAAAAATGTGTGGTCAGGTGCCAACAAGTAGATATACATATTTAATCAACAGTTTGTACAAATTAGCAATAAATACAGGAAGATAACTTATATATACATACTTCAAGATTTTAATTTTATATATGTGATAAAGATTTGACTCTTTACAATTGCTTGCTCTTGAAAAAAATTTACTGTTCTGTGTCAACTTTTGGCTCAAATAATAAGTATAAATAAAAGCAACAATAAAATTTTTAAACAAACTTTTATAATAACTTAACAAAACTTCAGAAATAATGCTATTTTAGCAAAACTTTTAAATTAAAAACAAATTGTACTGTGTTATTTCAATATGTAAGATGGTTTCACCACAAGTACCCTCTTTTAAAACAGTGAGTCTTATGATCAACATATATTAAACTTAAATCAATTATGTTTTATAGGCACAGAAGAGGATTCCTCTGACCGTCACTCCTCAGAGGAGGATGGGGAAGGTGAGGCAAGTGGTGATGACGTATTTGCGATAAGTCCTGCGCAGGCGTCGCATTATGCGGCACAGTTTGCGCAGCTACGACCTGAACGCGGCTTGTTGTCGGGACCTACTGCTAGGTACGTGTCCGAAATTGACCAATTTTTAATATATAATAATTACTTAAATACAATTGAAGACACAAATGGTATAAGTAAAATGTTTATAGTAGGTAAGTTATCAGTTATTGTATTCAGTTATCTTAAGAGTTCGGTGTATTCTATTTATGTATTTGTCAACAATCTTAATATATATAAATTACGTGTCACGTTGTTTGTCCGCTGTGGACTCCGAAACTACTTAACCGATTTCAATCAAATTTGCATACCGTGTGCAGTTTGAACTAACTTAAAAGATAGGATAGCTTACATCTTCATTTATACCCGTAATATTATTTTATTGCAAATTATTTGTTTATTATTTGATACAATTCTAACAGATGGCGCTGTGTTAAAAGTACCAACGTTTCACATAAGCCATCTACCTTTCACATAAGTTGTCCTACCGTTTCCCTTGAATAGTTTACTACTATGTAATATAACAAAAACCTTAGCCACAGCAACGCTTGGCCGGTCTGCTAGTATATATATGTTGATATCCAGATGTATTGTCTATATTGATGATAGCGTCAATGATAGTTATTGAGTGTCATTGAGTTTTAATATTTCCTGTACATAAATAAAAACTAAATTACAAATTCCAGCTATTAAAGCTGCCGACAGAAGGGAATAAATAAAGAAGTAATGTTGTAAATTAAAATTATTATATACTTATTAATATTAAACATTTCAGAATGTTTTTCGAAAAGTCACGGCTGTCGGTTCCAGATTTACGAAAGATCTGGCAACTCGCTGATATCACCAAAGATGGAATGTTGACTCTTGAGGAGTTTAGTATTGCCATGCATCTCATAATTTTGAGGAGGAACAATATCCCAGTGCCAGATGTTTTGCCACCACGCCTCGTACCAAAAGTTGACTCACATTTCTCGCAACAATCGGTTACAACAGATCTGGTTGACCTGGGTGCTGATATGTTTAACTCTGGCACCTCTGCCGATTTCAATTTTGCAAAACCAGAAGTCAACGATCCATATGAAAGTAAACCAAAAAAATCAGAAGAAAGACAACCTTCCCTTTCACCAAAACCAGAACCGCAAGTGAACAATAAGGAATGGACCAAGTTTGTTGACTCGCCCACGTTCAGTGTTTCTAGTCCCGGCCCTAAACCTGTCAACTTTGACTTTCAAAAGTCCGCATTAGAGAGAGATCCAAAAATCTATCACCCCGTCGCATTAAGAGTGACTCCGGAAGCGAATACAATTCCACACGAAGATTTACGGTCGAGCACTTCTCCGCGAAGGGACGATATATCTCACGCCTTCGAACTCTCGAGTCCCAAACGAAATTCCAACGATCAATCGAATGGTAGCGAAATCAAGTCCATACAGCGTCCTCAACCGAAGAAACCAGTGAAAAGTGTTGGTGTCTTGCCTCCTCCACCCGCCAGAGAGTCGTCCGTTCATGCAGAAGATGGTCCGCAGTCGTTGCAATATGCGCCTAAGAAGGATCCACCTCCGCCACCGCCACCAAGACCTATCAGAAACCATACTCGTTCCAGTTCTCTGGATTTAAACCGGTTCAAAAGTGCCGCGCCCCCTCCGCAGCCGCCTCCTCGAATGTCCCCTTCGGCAACGACACCCACCCGTCGCTTAGTGAATCAGAAAAGTGAGGAACCCAGTTTTCCCCCCGACGCGTTCAGTAAGAGTGAAGAACCCAGCTTTCCTCCTGATGCGTTCGGGGAGACTTACGGCTACGAAGCGCCAAAAATGCACGGCGCGTTTGAAGTGTATCGGAAACCGTCGCGAGAATCGTCGTGTGAGACGGATCCGGATGTGAAATCTTTGCAGGAGCAAAATGCTGTTTTGCACCGTGTTTGTAGGGCTTTGTGCGCGGAACTAGCGGATGTGCAGAGAGAAAGAGAGGCTCTGCGGGTCCAACTTGACGCACACTCGACCCCCGTCTAGTCACAGCGGGCTTTGTAATCTATGGTCTAGCTTCTTAATCACTTAAAAACCCCCTACTACAACACAAACTATTCTATTGCGACAATAAAATAAGAATTTTGAAACTTTTATGAAAATCTTTGTTCTATACTTCTATTTTATTTCTATCCATTCTTTCTAAACGCTGGATCGTAGATTATTTGCCTATAAATTTTACTACCCTTTGTCTGTAAATAGACATATTCCACTATAATCGTTTAATTAATCTAAGTAATCTCATATTCTTTTGTTTTAATTCATATGAATTTTATTTGACTACAAATATTAGCTTTTTTAAATATAATCATTGCTTATTGGTTCTCAGTGAATTTGAAATATTACAATGTTTTATTAATCAATTTGCCGTCCTTCACAGATTACAGAAAGAGCAAGATGTGTTGTTTTTTTTCAAAATAAAAATTAAATTCTTTGAGAGCTAACTCGTAATAGTTTGAATTTGGTTATGTTTAAGATCAACATATGTTTTTTTTTTTACATTTAATGAGGCTAGATAAGTGTCAGCAAGCACTTTTTAATATTTTCTTAACCAATTATAAATGTTTGTATATTGTTAACAATTACGATTTTAGTATTGCATAAAAGTGAAAAATAGAGTCCCCTCTATAGATGTATTGGTTTGATAAAATCTACCTCAAAATTTTAAATTAAAAATCCTTGAGCGAATGCTATGCCAAAGTAGAAAATTTAACAATATAGTATACAAATTGAATAAAATACAATATTATGTATGTCAATATATTTGTTACATGATATGTTTGTAAATTAAGCATTTATTTTGAAATTTGATTTCATAGTACAACAAATTTTCATAATGGGTAAGTAGAAGCGCTTGCATTCCTTTTTATAAACGCTTTGTGAAAATAAAAAAAAATCTAAAAAATATTAGATTTCGCATGTGAATGTTGTATATTAAATGTTGTAAATGGTTGGACTCAGGAAGGCTAAAAATGTGATGTGTTTTACACAAGATTGTTTTAAGTAGATAGATAATATATTTTGTTGTCTGGAATTTTGAAAATTTTGAGCTGGCAACACTGAGCTATTTTGCTAGCGATTGGTAGCACATAAGTATAGCATAGTGTAAGTGTGAAAATGCGTTGTATAATATATTAAAATAAAAAATATTTATCATTTATTTTAATGTTATGTACGCCCTTCGTGTAAATACTATAATTTTTCCGAATGCGTTTTCGGTATCTCGAAGCTTTATATCACACAAATCTATATTTCGGTCCAATTTTTTGTAATCTTCACCATTATTAACCTATTTATGTTTCGTATAATGTATACAGTAATGCATATTATAGTAGTAAAACTATGTATAATAAAATTATTTAAAAATATATTTTTTTTGTTTTTAATTTTTATCTTAGTCGAAACAGTAATATTACGTTTTTTTATGTGAATTAGAAAAATATTCGTACCATATACTTTGATAGTTTTTGAATATATGTAATTCGTGTAAATTAAGAAATGAATTTCAATTTATTTAAAAAAAATATTTATTTTGAAAGCTTAACGAAAAAAATAGTTTTCGTAGATATGCCAGTTTATAATGGTATGTAAATATTAGAATAAAGAAACATGAATGTACGATAATATTCTAACGTGATATACCAATTAATGACAATTAAACTACATAGTGTGAAAGTCTCGGGATAGGAAGTTAAAGTCTGTTAATGAGGCTTGAAATCCTTAAGTTCCTTCAATATTATCGTGCATACCTGCGTGGCTGCCACTTGCCCGAACTTTTTTATTTGTAGTTTGTAACTGAGCCCCTCCCGCACTCCACCTACGGCGGCCGACCGGCGATCGCTATTTGCGCCTTGTGATTTGTCAGCGGTCTACGGTGCGGTTGGTTGCGGCGCGCGGCGCTTCATAACGTCAACAGACTCGTTGAGTAGTGCACGTGAGCCCAACTTTAGTCCGCGTGCGCGAAGTTTTATACGATGCATTGAAATATTTTTTTGTTTTGTGGTGTGATCTGTATAAAAACAATGTTTAAGTACATAATTCTTCTCACTCTCGCTATGAACGCTGCCTCCGAGGCCTCCGTGCGGATATGTGAACCGATAAAAGTGGCTATGTGCAAGAACATTGGATACAATCAGACTGGAATGCCTAACTTAGCACGACATACACTTCAAGCAGATGCCGATGTGACTCTGCAGACGTTCAGCCCCCTCGTACAATATGGTTGTTCATCTCAGTTACATCTGTTTTTGTGCTCCGTTTACGTTCCAATGTGTACGGATAAAGTCGCTCTTCCAATCGGGCCGTGTAGAGGACTGTGTGAAAGCGTATACTCAAGGTGTTATCCAGTGCTGAGAGGGTTCGGTTTCCCGTGGCCAGCCGAGCTTGACTGTTCTCTATTTCCAGTGGAAAATAATCATGAGCACATGTGTATGGAGGGGCCTGGAGAAAGGACTCCAGTAGGAACAGTACCTCTCGATACGAATAGTGCTAGTAGGAGCGCTTGTAGAAGATTAATAAAACCTAATAACTGGATTTGGGTTAGGGGAACGGGACGATGTGCCCAGTTTTGTGACGCTGAAGTGTTATGGGAAGCTGGGGAGAGAAAGGCTGCCGAAGTGTGGCTTGCTACATGGGCTGCGTTGAGTTTTGTGTGTTCCTTGGCGGCAGTGGTGGCTCAGTTAGCGTGTGGGGATCGAGGGGGCTCTGGAGAGAGAGCCTTGGTATTGGTCGCCCTCTGCAGGTGTGCTGCGGCAGCCGGTTGGGGAGTAAGAGCAGCGGCCGGTCGAACAGCAGCGGGCTGCGCTAAGGATTCCACCTCACCAACCCGAATGCTGCTTGCTCATGACGGCTTGGCAAACCCCAACTGCGCTGTTGTATTCATGCTTCTATATTATTTTGGATTGGCTGCATCTGTATGGTAAGTTTTTCACTTATGCCCGAGTAGGTTTGTCTGTAAGTCGACAGATTATAATTGAATAAGGTTTTTGCAAGTAATAATTAATATCTAGTCACGAATATTCAAACCATGAATAAAAGTAAGTTATACCCAATACGTTGACACAACTTTCTACCAATAACTATTTGTATACAATCCAAAACATAGTAACACTTAAAAAAAATTGCAATGTTACCTTTGGAAATTAGTGACAATAGATTTGCAAACACCTTGTAACAAAAAACTTCCGAAGCCGTACCTGATATTTTATAACGCATCCCAACTTTTGTCACCAAGGTATTTCCAATCTTTTGTACTTTGTCACTTTTGTCAAAAGAATGCGTGGTATTAAAAGTTGACTTATTAACAAAAACGAAAAATTGTTTGGGATGAATGCCAACCTTATAAATTGTCCCTTAGCATCTGAATAGCGCATGGGCCAAACACATTTCCTTGTCCTATAGATAGATACCTAGGTAGTTTTGAAAGCACACCTTCTGTGAATACCAACCTGAAAATAAAAAATAAACCCTGAATCGACTTGCGCTTATGGGTATATACCATGTGAGATACCTTAAGAGATTTATGTTCAACATATCTACAGAAGAATTATATATACTATTTGCCGTTTTACCCACGAAGACTTCTGTACATCTTAAACTATCACGTTCGTGGATGCAATGTTGTTTTCTGGTTTTGTGAATTAAAAACCGCACATTACTAGCCAAACCGCTTCTATGAAATAGGTGATTTATGACCAACTATATTTTACGGCAAAAGGAATGTAAATAAGCGATGTTCAATAAATCATAATGTTGATGTGTATGCATTAGTCTAAACTGAAATGTGGGCCGCGCATCATAACACTTTAAAATAGAATTGTTTTCAAAGAAATCCTAGCTGTTTCGCTTCTTTTTACTACCACAAAAGATGCGGGCTTTCTTCGTTCATATATTATATTTCCTATTTATTATCGTTATACCTTTGAAAGCTGCTTATTCATTTTCATAATCTCCTTCACTCTTTGTTTAATCTTAAACAAATATATTTAATATTTTGCACTTCTTTCAAAATTCTCTCTCAAAACTTGCTTGACTGTAAGATCACGGCACGATCAAGTAAATCAAGACTTAGGGCTAAGTACCAAAAAGTATTGGATTTGACAAACGGGACTAATACTTTGCGCTAAGTCTCTGAAAGTTCTAGTGCGTTCTTTGTTTATTATTAATTAGAATCTATATGTTCCCTGCCGTTTCACTAGCGTTAATTTTATAGCGATATATTTTATATAGCTCTCCTCGATTAATTTACTAACACAAAAACAAATAAATTTCCAACAATTCAATTAAACAAACCCATCTAATTTATTTAATACTACGAAGTATTCAATAAATTGGAATCAAACACCATCTTTATTAAGAAGAGTGGCGGAGAGTTTATTGCCAGTTCTTCTCTTCCGTTCTACGCCCACGATTTGAGAACTGGCAGTAAATGTAAAATTAGAAGCATTTCATACATATATATATATATATTTTAACTTTTAAAGTACGTAATGATTATTAATAGATTATAGAGGTTTATATGTATAATCAAGTCAAGTAATGACTTGAGGACTTGATAGAAATAGTATGAATAGCAGCAGCAACATAGCAGACTTGGCACTATTGCACTATTGGCAAAGATAGAGATATCTGGAAAGGCTTGGAGGAGACCTTCACCCAAGAGAGGTCCATGTCCACAGGCGACTGACGTATAATTACTGACATCATTTGAAATGGAAATTAAGGATTTGGAAATAACCAAGGCTTTATTATGATTATTAATATGTATAATACTATGTAAAGATATCTGGTACTGTCAGTATCAGAACGTAAATGCATTGCACACGTTCGGCGCTGGCTTATAATTTACAATGAATAATTTTTCATACTGGTATTACTGGCACAGGACACAACATGATATATCAGTATGGATAAAGCGTCACTTACATTCCCCAGAATCAGGAGGTGGTTCACAAAGACACAAGAACCAGTCAAGTCAGATTTCTACATATTTTATATGACTTTTGACTGCAATTTACGGGGAATCTCGAGGATCGATACGCTGCCAAAGGACAACCGATGATTTTTTGCTCTCCTCATTCTCCTCACAAAGCTTCTTGCATTTCGCACTTTGTGAGTCAAATTTGTTTCAACGGGTAATATTTGGATCTTGCCATACTCGAAAGTATTTTATTGATACCCAAAATGGCGGACATACATAATTGAAAATTTCTTTTGGGATTTGATACGAAATTCAACGAGGCGTTTCCGTGTAATGCTATATAAAGTATTTCTCCATGACGATAAACTCCAACATTTAATTTTAAATCAAATCGTAGATTAATCCTAAGAACGGTACGGTAGTGTTAAGTCTCGTCTCTGAATCTTAAGCTAAATACTTAACTTAATATTAACAATATTATAAAAAAAAGCAAAAAAAATATGCAAACAATAATAAAGCCTGTATGCCGTTATAGTTTGAAAACGTATTATATTGTTATAAATAAATACAGTTATACTTAATCAATGTCGCGTATGTAGAAATATCCAATTAATATTGTCATCGTCGAACATAACCGAAATATCGTAAAACCGTCCATTTATTTTCTAGAGCCAGAATTCTTCTAAACGACTCGTTATGATAATTTCACGTAGATTTATGTGCTCGGCATTCTTTGATACGATATCTGATGGGGCCTCGACAGATATTAATGTTTCGTGTTGATAGTTATGCACCCATCTTTAAGTTTTAAAACTATTTGTGATAATATTTAAATTAAAAACTTCGATATTTCATCAATGGACTACGCTTGCAGTGGTTTCTTCGTGGACTTGTTATTCTTAATTTGCAAGAAATATACTATGCTACTTAATATAATTAGCGTAAAAAATATATTGCAAATATTATATAATGCATATATGCCCAATAGGCCTAAATGACCTAATTCAATTTTTGAAGCACTTATAATACATATTTAAATACTGGCAGTTGGAAGTACTTCTTTTCTAAAGTAAATAATTAAAAATGTCGTGAGTAGAACGAGTTTGTAGTTCGACACACTCCACCAACCGTTCATCAATTACATGTAGTTATCGCATTTTATTGACACTTCAAAAGGGACCGGTTTAATTGTTTACAGCGCGCGCCCTTGTTTAGCAGTTAGAACAATTTTATATTACTTCTAACTAGAGTCTAAAATATTGTAAAAGAGGTTGATTTATTACTGTATTCTTGTTTTATCAGGGGCAAGGGACAGATACTTTATACAGACAAGGCAAGTTGAGCAGTCTTTGTGTCTGACAAACGAGGTTGATTTCTTGATCAAACCCAAGCCAAACAAGATTCAGATATTCAGTAACGATACTTAGCGCGAACTATGTCTTATGTCAAAATCCAATGCTTTTTTGACGTCTACTTAGTGCTAAGTCTCGTTTGTAATGTTACCTTTAACTAAGTATGACTCCTATGTGTCAAACTTACCCTAATAAGTACGATTATCACGATGTTTTCCTTCAGTGAACGAATAATTAATTATTACGCATACAAAGATTCATCTGTGCACATGGGTTCGAATGCACCTTATAGTTGTGAACAAAACTACCAGGAACTCGAATATAAGACTATTATAGTAATAACAGACGAGTACGGAACTAGTTAACGGCGCAGGCGCATGTTGTGGTTGCTGTAATGAGTGGTAAAATTGGTTTTCTGTGTGATAGGACGTGCGTCGGCGTGCCTAGTTCATGAAATTGGAAAAGATTATTATTAATTTTTATAAGGTAAATTATTTTATGAGCTATACTAAAATAAATGTTTAAAAAATAAATCAATGGCGCTACAACGATTTTAGGTCTGGGCTTCAGATTTCTGTATCTGTTTCATGATCATTTTTTTTCTAATGTTAATCTAATAGGCAAGTAGGTGATCAGCCTCTTGTGCCTGACACACACCGACTTTTTGGATCTAAGGCAAGGTTTCCTCACGATATTTACCTTCACCGTTCGAGCGAATGTTAAATGCGCACATAGAAAGAAAGTCCATTGGTACACAGCCGGGGATCGAACCTACGACCTCAGGGATGAGAGTCGCACGATGAAGCCACTAGGCCAACACTGCTAAAAAAATGTTAACTTAACTAATTACTTAACAAAAAAAATTAATACAAATGGAAAGAAATGATGAGCTGATGTAGAAGACTTCTACAATTTATCTCTAGACTTTAAAGCCTCTGCTGGCTTCCGAACGGATTTGAACTTATTAAATTGTTACTTAATGGTTTAAGTAAACGTTAAGTTGGCCGTTAGTAACTTTTACTTAGTAATTTAGTAACATCAACTAGTCTTGTGACCCGAGGCGTATAATCAAAGTCTGCTTCATAATTTCTTGTTTATTTTAAATTTTCTTGCTGCCGATGTAATCTCGACACGAAGGCCCCGCCTCGCTCGCTCGTTAGTAGGGCTGTGCTATCAGAAAATCGATATCGTTATCGATAAATAATTTTATCATAGCATGAATTGTATTTATAATAAGGAACTATAAATGAGAAGTTTAATAGTAACTTAAGTACTTAATTTGCTGACGAAATATTATTAATATAGTTAGAACTGTTTATATTTTAGAGAGCAGTGTTGGTCTAGTGGTTTCAGCGTGCGACTCTCATTCCTGAGGTCGTAGCTTCGATCCCAGTCTGTGCACCAATGGACTTTCTATGTGCGCATTTAACATTCGCTCGAACGGTGAAGGTAGATATCGTGAGGAAACCTTGCCTTAGACCCAAAAAGTCGGTGGTTGCCAGACAACAGGTGTGGATCAGACAAGAGGCGGATCACCTGCTTGCCTATTAGATTGACAAATGATCGTGAAATAGAAACAGAAATCTGAGACCCAGATCGAAAAAGGTTGTAGCGCTAATGATTGTTTTTAAATATATTTTTCGTTTGCATT